ATGCGCATTTGCATAAATGTCTACACACATACGCACACACATACTACACACAATAAAAAACAAAAGAAATGTGACAGAGTGATTACAATAGTTCCTATTGCATTACATGCATAGGAACTAAAAATGACACCAGCCACTGTATCAAGTGTCATTAAACCATGTGGCGTAAAAATAAGTAAAAAAAATAGCTCCATAATTGAACCACTTTTGGATTTAGTATAGTTGTTGAAAAATTTTCGACAACAATTTCATTTTATTGCAATAATAAATATTTCTCCGCTCTAAATCAATCCAACATTCTATTGATTGTAAATTTAGACCAATGTGAATATTATCATGACTAATTTACCTCTGACAATGAGTCTCATTACTCCACGGTTGTCACTGGGACTACCACTCCTATAACATTCATATACCCCATCATCTTTAGCGCGTATATTTTCAATCGTAACAGACGAGTTACCATTCCACATTTGAATTACATCACCATAATTATGTCTCCAGTGTAAATCGTTAAAACCGCCGTTTTCACTAAGGCTGATAGTGGCGGATTCCCCAATGCCGACAGTCATCGTTCGAAACTGCATTTTAATGGTGGCTGTGGAAAATACATTCAAATGATATATTAGTAGGGATGACAGAACAAAAAATATCACTTAATATGTGTAGTGTAATTATAATCACAAAATTAATTGAGTATAAGAAACAACAGTTTTTTTTTTTACAATCTACCTTCTAAGCTCCTGCACAGATCTGGAAAAAGTATATCGTAGCACTATTCTTTTAGGTGCCTTACCGTTAATGGCATTTTTTGAGTTTATATTTTACGTTCATTAAAATATTGTAAAAATAATTTTACATTAACATGAACCTATAACATATTGGACGAGGAATTTTCCCTCTACAAAAGCAACATGTGAGAATACCGTAAAACCTTGAATTGAAGCCCAGTGGGCCTTATCTCGAGATGAAGCCCATCTTAAATTGAAGTCCCCCTCTTTAGTTTGCAAAATTAGCCTCAAATGAAGCACATGGGCTTCTTTTAAAGATAGCATAGGCTTCTTTTCAGTAAATACACTGACACATGAATTTCAGAAAGTAAAATAAATTAAATACAAGCTTGGTTTATACAGTAGTTTAGGTAATTTAGTGCAAATTAAATACACTCCTTGACACGGATTGATGTTACAGTGTCCTTATTTATATTTTATAGTACAAATTCAAAAAATTTACAGCATTCATTTTGAATAAAAGCCCTCCTCTTTACTTTGCAAAAGTGGTCTTGAAAAGAATCCCATCTCGAAAAGAGGCCCATCCAAAGTTTGCAAAAAAGCCCAGGGCTTCAAATCGAGTTTTTACGGTATTCACATTACGTTAGTACAGTATAGAGGAAGGGGCAGGGTACTATTGAGTGAGGTGCAGAATGTACCACTTTAGTGAGTGCGGCTGATACAAACACATATGTTCAATAAATAGGCATTATAATAACGGGAAAAAAATATATTGCCCATATTAATCACTAAAATAATAATAAGGAATTTTTACTATATTCTTTAAGGTATACTGTATTACCTGCTTTTGTCAACATTATAAACAAAATTGTTGCCTCACATTTCTTTATTAAAAGGGTAATTTGTCTTTCATTTGCAAAGGTCTTTCTAAAATTATACAGTAGTTAAACACGTAACAGTATTCAATATTGTGTTTTACAACATTAATCTTGAATATATGGCAATACTTGAAATATTTGGCAGACTATGTTTCACAGCATGACTATCTAACATTATGATACTGCTAGAGCGAATCGATAGGGAATGATGGTCGTCGACGTCCGGACCTTCCCCCACACCCCAACCCAACATGTTACAAGGCTTTTTTAGCGGGCAAAAAAACTGCACAGACGTTGGTAAATAGTGAGCAGCTTTTATCTTATTTGTGGGAGGGAGATCATTTGTGATTATCAGGTTAGTCTCAAAAGATGGAGACTGGCAAGACAGACTGACACAGTTCCCCACGTAATTGTTTCTGCACACCCTCTTGCAAATACCTGGACCCGCCCCAGTACCTTGCAGCATTGTTTGTGATGATTTACCGTCAATATCTGAAAGAAATGTATCGTAGCACCTGTTTAGGTGTCTTAACATTATTAGCCTATTTATGCCAATTGAAATAACGTAAAAAATAAAACAAACAAACAAATCATCACTAACACAAATCTACAACATACCGTATTGGACGAGGACAAAAACAACACATCCGGATATATCATTTTTCCAATTACGCAGTACAGTACAAAGAGAAGAGTAATAATATTTAGTGTAGCTAAGTTGAATGTACCACTTCAGGCGGCTAATACTAGGCGTATGTTTACTAAATATACTGTATACTATTGTAATAAGCCCCCTAGATTTATTGTACATGAGGGCCCCAAATGATCAGCTTTGCTGGATGGACTACCCTCCTTAAACATGGTTTTAAATAAATTATGAATAGAGTTTTACTATACTGTTCAGTATCTTACCTGCTTTTGTCAAACATTATAAAATAAAATTATTTTCACTTATTCGAGCATAGTACAAATGCCATAAACGACTGAGATTTATAAACTTGCTAACTACTATTACACTTTAGTATCGTGTTTTCCATTATTTAACCTTAAATAACATTTGACCTGAAATATACTTTGAAAACTATATTTAGTAGGCATCTCCATGACATTTCAATAAAAACCAATTTTTGCAGCATGCATAATGAGCATAATTATTTTACCTCAAATGATCATTAATCCCTTCCACACATTCAATAAACGACTTTCCTACAGTTTTGTTCGAACCCCTCATAGATGATACAAATTAGCTCAACCCACCCTCGATAAACTAACGTTACATTATCTCACTATATTAATTGGAACACATTATGAAGGATAAGTACTGAGTGTTTAACACTGGTGTCCTTGGATTCAATTATGGGTAAACGGATTAGTTGCCTTTATTATGAGGTTTGAATTGTTCTTTACCGCCGAAAGTACGGTATTCTAACGTTAGTTTAAGGAGGGGTCGGCCTAATGAATATCAGAAGGTGCACAGACTTTTTGTATGTTGTCGTCTGGCAGTGAGTTAACTACAGTATGTAAGAGAGAGTAAATCCGGTTGGAGGTGCATGATGGGTACTCCACTAGATAGACTTGAAAAAACAGGTTTGTATTGTATTGAGGACCATATTGGAACCACATACAGTACTAGGGGTACCCTCTCAAACATCTTAAAAAACAAATACCCAATATTTTTTTTCTTTATACTGGGATCATCCAAGTATTAGTCTAATATCTTAACAACAAAGACAACAGTGATATAAGAGAGATTTCAGAACCTTAAGTAAACGATAACGAAAACGAATATGTCACATATACGTCACATTTTCGTTCCCGTAATTGCAAACTATAAAAATCACATTTTCGCACACACTGAACGAATACGAAAAATAAATATATATCTTGCCAATAAATATCTGTATAAAGTCTTCGGAAGGTTTCTTTCTGCATTCAATTATGTTACAGTGTGAATAATAATCTTTTGTGAATGCAGTCGTTTACAGTGCATAAAAAAACATACATAGAGTTATGAAAATCGCTCGATACTCTGTGATCAAAATATTTGGGGATCATTTTTAAAGTTCAAAACATGATGACATGGTCATATGGTGCGAAGGCAGGCCTGGCCACATCGCACCATATGATCGCCGATCACAGCTGAGGTCATTTACGGTCAAATTGATCTTTCTGACCAATAGGAAATCTTGTATGTTTAAAGAGGTCTTAAATGTAGAAAAGGATCTGTTTTATAGGCTAGTGTACATTTATGACTGTAAGCATTGTTTCTTGGGAATAAATGTAAAATTACCAATGCCGCGGCTTGTGGACAGCATTTATAAAAAAAATAATGAAAAATGAAAAAAATGCCTCATGTGTTTTCAATATTTTTCGGACGCAAACCTACAACTTTCATTCTCGTGGCCTAATCTCGTTAAGGTTAGAGCGAAATATTTTGACTAGGGCCTACCAGAAATTCGGAAAACACATTATTAGACAGGAAGTACAATTGCATGGTGGGTAATTACTGTTGATTTTCGTGCGACTAGTTTATGCTAGATCGAGACTATAGGCGTAAGCTAGGCCTAGACCCTAGGTCTCGGCGGTTGATTAGACTGGCCGAGGAGTCTAGCTGGAGGGTTTACACTGGGTTTTCCCCAAGTATTTCATTTAGCGCGTGGTAGTGTGGGCTGATTTCGGGTCATCCCTTATACATTGGCCGACCCCTTGCCCGTCCCACGTATAAAAACGTCTCTCACAACCTTGTGGTCTCCTTAGATTTTTCAACTTTGTCACAATTACAATTGCCGATGTTATGCTACTGTGGCCTAGGTGTATTCGTGACCTGTGACCTGTGGCATGGCATGACAGTTCGTTTTCACAGCATCTGGTAGACCTTGTAGTTTTGTTGAGGGTTAACTGTTCGTCTGGTTTAAGATTTTTGAGTTTGGACTGCATATTACTATTCGGATTTTCAGAATACAATACATGTGTTATTTTAAGTAGTATAATAACCATGTTTTAAATAAACAGTCCAGTGCAATCGGGAAAACGTTCGTTTTCTGTAGTATAAAGTTTATTATAAAATTAAATTTGAATAATATCAGTTTTTAGTAATTTGCATGAAGCGTACAACATAAATTTGGACCAACACGGCATGAATGCTTTGAAATCAACGTCTCCATTTAAACTAGAGTAAGACAGGACAGTCCAGAGGAATCGAGAAAACATTTTCTGTATTATAAAATTACGTTTCAATATCAGTTTTCAGTAATGTGCATGAAGCGTACAACATAAATTAGACTTAACGGAATGATTGCTTTGAAATCACATCCAAAATTAAGTGTGTGGCAAGGCCCAGGCCTACCTAGGTAGGCCTATACCTGGCCTATACTAGACTAGGCCCTATGCCATCCAGCAACGGAGTACGTAAAAACTTGAAAAAAATGTTTTTTATTCATAAATTAAAGTTTATGTCAATGGCGATACAGTCCGAATAGACAGGTCGACTAGGCCACTTAGGCTAGGCATTCCATTGTATTATTCAAACCAACAGCGCAATGAAATTCTATTACAAACTAATTTTAATATTTTTAATTATGATTTCCTAGCTGTGACCTACAAGTAGTTTCTAGCTTATGGCTGTATGAGTGTATAATCAGAGTGGAAACAGATCTAAACCCTAAGCAGTTTGCCTGCTACAACTGACTGAAACACAAGTATAGTGAAATCGTAAGTCTAATATTCAAATTAATGTTTGAATAGTTGCTGCTTAACACTAGGAACACAAATAGCGTATCAAATAGATACAGTGCACCAAGATCGGTCGCGTTGCCCTGGGGCACCATCGCTGCCCAGGCCAATTGGTTGGGGGTCTGGGGCTGCCTACGGCATTATTTTTTTTCCTATACAATTCCGGCAGAAATTATAGAGGGTGCTATTTTAGGTCAGTTAGGAGAACTGATATGAGCGAATATGCATAGACTCCCCCTCGTGAAACAGAGTCAGTGGTGCATAAAGTTTTATGTGTGGATGAATGCTATGGAGAGTCACTAGGCCAAAATCTCGTAAGTAGGCCTTGGTAGTCAAGACAGTGTAAAAAGTGTAGTACTAGATTAGACACACTCTATGTAGGCCTACAGCATGGTCTTCGAAAGTATAGAAAAACAGAGTACCGGTACTGGTAGCCGTCTGATTTCAGACATTCGGCAGCCATTTACATTATGTTGGCATTAAAAGACTGCTTATTGTGATGAGGGACCCGTGTACAAACAATTACCAAACACAAAAAATATGCAAAACTGAATGCTATTTACAAAATATTCTATTACTTATGGGTGAAACTTTCTTTGATAAATTGGCTTCTATCAAGTTGATTTTCATCTATGACGCGTTTAAGAATAGATTTGGTTTAGTAGGCCTAATGTATTACTGAATCTGGCGCTGTATTTGAGTAGGCCTACAGTTAGGCTTAGATACAGTATGACGTGATTCTGAAGGATATACGTTTAGAATGCTCTGAAACAAATTAGTTCTTCGGACATAGTTAACTTGCAATTTTACAATTAAAAGATTTTTTATGAGAAAAAAACCCTGAATATTAGTAATTAACAGACAGTGAGCGTTTCTGTATTCTTTTGCCTGATTCATTGGTTGGTAACATTTCAGGATTTTTGTAGAACCGTCTGTAAATCAGTGAAAGCTCATTTTTACTTCCATCTGATTTTGATCAATAAAGCTAAACAATATTTAATTGGGTAGACACAGCCTGTACATCATATCATGTATATAGAATATCGTTCAACGCTGCCTTTTTATACTTTCAAAGAACTTGTTGTACGTAAACACTGCCTAGGCATAGGGATACAGCCCTCAAAATTAATGCCGGCATTTGGCAATGCCGATGTAAACGGTGGTGTATAGCCTCCCAACGCCGACGAAAAAATCGCCGACATGAAAATTTTAGGCCTAGCCCAAGCTAACCCAGGCCTACGCTGGTACTAGTGGTAGTACCAGTGATGGTAGACTCGGGAAGATCACTGTGAACACAATATCAAACTTTATTCTTAATGAAAGCAAGTTATATAATGTCTTTTATGTTGCATTATCAGTAAAATGTGAATAAAATCAAACTGGATTTTGTGTTTCATGCTTTTATATTGTTTTTACGTTCATTTTCGTTTTACATTTTTTTCCAAAACAACCCATTCTTCATGTAAACATTAGGCCATGCCTTCTAAACTCTGCCTGCTAATTGGTTAATTTTTTCCATGGGGCATGGATGGGCAAACATGTGCTTGGCTGTGATGATGTGAGATCCCCCAAAGTTTCAAAGTGCGTGATACTAGCTTGCAGATAGGAACAAGCTCGGTGTAAATCAATTAATTTTTAATTAAACAGATTTATTAAAACAAATAAAAAACCCTCGACTATTTAGATTCTACTAAGTATGTGGTTGGTTGGGTTGTTTTGGTCGGGAAGGAGAAATTTTCTCGGAAAGCTCTCTAATGAATCAAGTTATTGCATGACCATTTTTATATTTTTAATAAAACCAATTTCTTCTAATTTTAAGTACATTTTCCTCTGAATTCGTGATAATTTGTTATCACGCATAGACTTGTGGTAAATGCGTGACAAATTTCTGATCATGCAAAATGCGTGTTTCATCTAAATTCACTTTGAAATGCAAGACCATCCCTCACGATGCGAGACGGTTGGTAACTAGTCAGGCCCTCTGTAATTTCTGCCTTAAGTGTATGGGGAAAAAAATAATGCGCCAGCGAGTTGCCGGGGGGTCATCTATCTATCTATCTATCTATCTATGCCTAAGTTCATCTTATTAAACTCAATTAAGTTTGGGGAATCTACTTTTACCACAATAAAATTCCCATTTGTTACTACTATAGTTTTCAAAATTCAATAAATCAAATAGAAAACAATTCAAGATGGATGAACAGATCAATTATAAACCTATACTTAAAATCTACTTCTTTCCTCCAACTTAAGACAAACGAATGAATTAATTATTTATTAATGCGGTTTAATAGAAAACTAAAAACTGCTGATACTCACCCAATGATGAGGTCACAACAATTGCTGCACTAGAAACCATTTTAGATGTTGTTGCTATAAATGAAAACACACCGTCACTTTCAGGGTTTGGTAAATTTTTAACACCAAGATATACAAAATTATTATGTACTCTGTATGATATTTCGCTTCCAGTGTTAAATATTTTATTATCTGGCATGTCCTTTAATTGTTCACCTGTATCATCATTGTTGTTGCCAGAATATCCAGTATCCGACCATGTTAAATTCTCCTTGCCATCCACAACCTTGTACAATATCCCGATTGTAAGATCAGTTGTTCTGCAATTGTTTATAGCATATCCACGAAATTCATTTGCATTGTTAGGCAATGTCAGTGGTGTTGAAGAGTACAGTGTTATATCCAGATCCAGCGAAGCTGAAAGTAGATTTCAACACATTAAGCGCCATGGCCATCTTCTTTGGTGGATACCGTCGCTATACAAATAACTATTATCTTACCACTGCATTTCTGACTTTATCATTATCATTTTCATTTTGCAAATATATATATATACACACATATAGTAGAACCTCGATTTTACGTACGGTAGGGGACCGGAGGGCGTACGTAAATCGAGGGATTCGTAAAATAGAGGTGGCAATGACAATGACGGTGACAGTGAAGGTTGTGAAGAGGATGATAATATTGGTAAGAATGATGAGACGGTGGTGATATATGAGGTGGTGTTGATAATATTAATATGATAAAACAAAAACAATAATAATAATAATAGTAGTAGTAGTTTTAAAAATAATATTAATAGTATTAATAATAATAATAATAATATTTAAACAATAGTAATAAAAAGAATAATAGTAATAACAATAAATAGTAATAACAATAAATAATAATAACAATAACAATAACAATAACAATAATTATTATTATTATTATTATTATTATTATTATTATTATTAATATTATTACAGCATAGCCAACATCATTAACAAACAATATTAAAAAAGAAAAACGAGATAACAAGCCAATATTAATTTTAAAAATAATAAATATATAACTAATTATAATTCGATAAATAAAAAATAGAAAATACCAACATACATAATAACCACTTACAAAACCGTATTTAGAAATTATTAATAGACGAATGTAATAATAAAATATTTGTGGTACATGTTTTTGTTGTTAATTAACACGGATCCTGTCAGACTTTAAATGATATAGTTGAAATGTGTATTATTACATTATCTTAACTTACTACAATATTTGTATGTTTAGATATAAGGTTTACCTGTGCCAAGAAGCTCAAATCTTAAACTGATGTGTCTATACCAGGTAATTGGATTGATACGGATGAATTGAGCGTAGACAACAGAGCTGAATATGTTTTTCACCTCGGTGTTTCGATCTGAGTTTGCACTAAAAATCTAAAAGTAGTGGCATTATGATAAATACACATTTCCGCATTTCATGATACTTGTCGTAATATCTTATATAAACTGATTATAACAACATACCTCAACTTGACCACTCGATCCCAATACAGGTGCGAAAATGCTACCATCGGTACTGTAATTAACTTTGTATGTTTTAACCCATTGATTGTAACCACTTCGCCCTTGTGTTATTACTCCAACTACGCGTTTCACTGAACCGAGATCGGCTTGAATCCACTGATCTCGGTCATTAGTTGCTGCTGCCCAGGCTCCAAAGCCTCCTGCATCTGATACTGTGTTGAGTCGTCCTCGATCAGCCCCAAGACTTTTGCTGCTCAAGTATTCGCTGGATGCTGTCAGCTGGTCGGAGTGGATAGTTTCATCTTCAATCCCAAGAGCTACAACTGAATTTGCAGAGTTATTTGATCAAATTAGTTAGGCCAGACCAGCGTTTGTCGCAATGAATAAATCATTATAAAAATGTATCGTCCGGGCGAGTCGTCGAGCGGTAGGGCAGGGGCGTCGCTAGCTACAACATAAACATAGACGCTAGTTCCAGCCGCTCCTCGCCCATGGTTTGTTTTTTTGGGGGAGAGGGAAGGGCCATACATTTTATCTTCTGGGGGCAGGGGCATCCACTCAATCTTCTGGGGGTTCCCCCACCCCTTACTTTTGTGACTGTTCCCAGCACAGTGACAAACATTTTATGAACGCTACAATGTCATTATTATTATTACTACTATTATTATTATTATTATTACTGTTATTGTTATTGTTATTATTATTATTATTAATATTAATATTATTATTATTATTATTATTATCATCATTGTTATTATTATTATTATATTATTATTATATGGTGCTTAGAGAATTTGTTTATTTGCCCTTTATAAATTGACCTAGTATTTTTATTATAATATAGATTTTTTTCCTAACAAACATTAAAAGTTCCCTTTTTGAGTTGAGCAATAAAAAATGTTGATTGACGTCTGTATAGTTTCCCTGAAACCCACCCTCGAACATGAAGAAAAGAATGGAATCGCCAGCCTTCATGCATTCTGTATAGGCATAGGGTGGAGGTAGGCACTCTTTATGGAGTGATGTTCTAGTTCTCTTTATGCTAACCATAAAGATTAAGTGTAACTAATTGGCTTACATTAAACCTTCAACTCCATCTAATACATCGAAAACAGTAAGATACTTAATTAGGTCATTTTAAAAAATAAAGTTCTCAGAAGTTTAACTACAAAATTCACAGTACACTGTAGTTAATGTGTTATAGGTTGTAAAAACTCTATTGAATAAAAAAAATCTTTCAAATAAAAAAAATTGCTTGACATTAGGAATTAGTCATTTGTGAAACAAAATAAGCTATGTCAAGTGTTATATTGAACAGTGACGGATTCATAGGGGAGCCCTGTCAGCACGGGCCCCAACCTCCTAATTTTTTCAAAATAATTTTTTTTAAATGGAGAAAACTTTTAATATGAGTGCCGGTTCCGGCCATCTAAAGGTGTCATTCATTATTTTTTCTTACCTCAGTGGGGCTAAGGTGGGTGGACATTCCATTTGAGCAAGACCCTCCATGGGTCCCCTCTGTTTTGAATTCCTGGACCTGCCACAGTTGGATTATCATTTCCAGGTAATTTTTATGCATTGGGGGAAAAGTGAAGGCTTCATCGGGGAATACCCATATCAAGTATACCCCTCATGATAAATAATTCATTGAGATCGTGAAAGCAATCTTGACTTCGTATTTGTTCGGGAATCAGAGGCGGATTCAAGAAGGGGGGGGGGGGGGGGCCTAAATTGTTTTTTTTTTCATGGTGATAGATATTAGGAAAAATATATTCAAATTTTAAGTCTGAGAGTGCAATTTCCCGCCATCTAGAGGTGCCATAATCATCAATTTTCTTACCTCAGCCCCAACCATGGTGGGGCTGAAGTGAAGAACCCCAACTGCAAAAGTACCCAGTGGCAGATTCAAGGGGTCCCAATCGGCCCGGGCCCCCACCCCTAAATTGTTCGATTTTTAAGAAACAAAATGGAGATATAAAGAAAATTACTAATTTTATGTCTGGAAGTGCAATTTCCAGCCATTTGGATGTGCCATAATGGCAAATTTTTTTCTTACCTCTGCCCCAACCATCGTGGAGCTGAGGTAGTATAAATCCTCCACCTGATGAATTTAGAGATGTCTTAGGGGAAGAGTTATAATTTTAGTTCTATATTTGTTTCGTAATTAAAGGCTTTTCTTAAAATGCGAGAAGTAATCATTCAAAAAAAATTATATTATAATATACCTCCAGACAGATACAGTTATCAAACATTATATTTATCAATTGAAAACAATTATAAACAGAACCCAAAGCTTTATTTAACTAAAAGATTTTCCATTAAGGATTCAAATTTTGTTCATCCAGATATTGATTATAAGGATTGTAGTAAAGGAACGTCATTTTTAAAATATAAATTGTATTGATTTATATTATAAAACCAACGAATGTAATTTCAGACGATACTGTATTTAAAAGAATCTGGCATATTTCATTGAATTTAAATTACATCGCCTTCTAAAATCCTGCACTATGTGTTATGGAGATGGGTAATGGAGGTTGAATCAGTTGAGTCACAACTTCAGTATAGCTTCCAAAGACTTTAAAATCAATTTCAGACACGTAATCTATGGAAAGCATAATGTAGGCCTATTCAATTTCCATTAATTTTGTTTGGTATTTTACTTACATTTGCCTATCTTCACCAAAGAATACAAATAGGAACCTAGTAGGATGGTATGACATTGAATGTATTAGTTGTGCATGATCAAATTTTCATTGGATGTACGCACTTATATTTCTTGAGATTTCTATTTTTTTTATTTAAAAATTATATACATAATATGACCAATAAGCCTAATTGTTCATCACCAATTTTTAACGTAATTTTAGCTAATTTACATTCGTACCATTTAAAAATCACGCAAGGTAAAGATTTAATGTCAAATGTAACGGGATATTGGTACTTTATATCTTCTAGTTAATAATTCCCTAACATTAATATCAGTGGCAGATCTGGGGGAGGGGGTTCAAGGGGTTCGGACGAACCTCCCTCTGTGAAGAAACGTAACAAAATACGCCCGAAAATAAAAATAGCTACTTACAGCGTGGTATGTACTACCAAACACATGGTAGAAATACCTAGTTAACGTCTATGAAGGCAATAAAAACTACATCGCGTTACCCAGACCACTTTTCCTGTCTGTAACCATAGCGATAATCTAATTAACGCGAGCCCATAAATCCAATTCCAACGAAGGCCGTTCCACTACTCACACTACTCAAGTGTTCAATTTTGATTCAGCTAGCCAAGGCCCTCAACGCTTACCTTAGTATGAAAGAAATCTAAGAACTGAATGTAAAAACCAGGGAGGTTTATACCTCCCTGTAAAACAGGGAAAGTTCTGTAATGGTTCACATGTCATTTAAACGGTTTCAAGATTTGTATCACATCTCTCATCCCACAATGGCGACGTAACAGCGCCATGAACAGTTTCAATTTAACACATGGCTATATAAATCCAAATTATTATAGCCCGCCCTCATTGTTGAAATTTAGGCAATACAGTATTTACATTAGTCCAGCCTGAATATCTAGTAGCCTCTAGTGTATACGACGTGGTTGACACCGGAAACAACGTTGCTAATTCTCATATTAAAGTAAATAAGGAAAACTAGGTCGTTTGGATTAGATATTAAAATATGTTAATAGTTGATCGATTAAAAAAACAAAACAAAAGAAAGGAGATATTTTTTTACAAGATGAATTAATAAAACTTCTAAGATACAAAAGTTCTTGCTTCTGT